AGAAAAATAATAAAAAATTGATAAAAGTAAATAAGAAAACTACAACGTTTGTCCACTGTGAACTGTAGCTTGTAGTTAGCCATGGCAATTCTGTCCATTCTTCAGAGACACTCTGCAAAATAACCAGAGCCCTATTATTTGAGATGGAGTTAAAAAAGAGAACCCAGCTACAAGAGCTAAACCCCACTCGTGGAACGCCGTTCTATGGCGTTTCTCAGGCAATTTGCGTATGAGTTAGCCGAGGGTCGAGATGCTCTCGCGTACAGGCCACCCTCTCCTCCCCTCCTTCGCCCCACACATACAGGCATTAAGAGAACAGAAACAACAACATAAAACCAGTCAGAAAGTCATGCAATGTCACTTACGGCTGTATAAAACAACAGGGTTCAGAGAAACTAGTGTTAATGCGGGCACAACATTTAGCATTCCGAGACTGGCGAGAAAGTCACGACAAAGAGAAGGTTCGTTACGCTCGGGGGTGTTTGGTTTTTCTTTTTAAGCCTTACGGTAACCGCAAATGCTGCATCGTAAGCCTAATTCTGGCATACGTTAGCCCAAAGCGCTGACACCATCGCCAAAAGCGTGAGGAAAGTACCTCTCCCAAAGCTCCAGCAGAAATGGTATTTCTTTCCTCTTCACGAGACACCCCCCAACACACACCCCTTCGCCCTTTTTTCTTTCCCTCTTTCTGGGTTAGCTCAGAATTTGGGTCAACAAATTGCCTGAGAAGAGCCACTTTGGTAAGCTTAGACGGGTTTGCTCTGAAGAGCCTACGGAGGGAAGGGGGGAAAAACTCATCTCTACTTACCCTCAACCGAAAACTTTGAAAATAAAGACTTGAGAACAAGTGAAAACATGCGTACAGCAAGCATAAAAGGAAACCACAATGAAAGTGTGCTTTTTACAGTGATTAAAAAAAAATCCAGATACAAAGAATTACCAAAACTTCTGATGCGCTAATCATGCAGTAGTTCAACCTCGGTGTCATTAAAAAAAAAAGCTCAGTTTAGCACCAACGAAGACAATGTTAAAAACCAAAAATAATAATAATAGAAAAATAATAATCAGGAAATATTCCGTTAGCACCCCATTTCTGGAAACTAGTCACTGATGAAGTACAGGTAAAGTCAAGGAACTTCATTCAACCACTTAAGAGACAGCAGCGCTATTTTTTTCAGGTTAAATTTACCCAAGTAGAGCACCGAGGTCTCTTCGGCTTTACTTAACTCCTCCGCTTTGGAACAAGAGTTCAAAAGAGTCATTATGGGGACAATTCTGAACCTGCTCCTTTTGTGGGAGAAAAAGAACCGAGTTTTGTGTTGGGCAGTCAGTCTGGGCCAGGGCAAACTGCGAGTCTTCCAGGTGTCAGCTCTACGGCCGTGCGCCGAGTGCCCCAAAAGCCAGAGCATCGCTTCCCCCTTCCTTCCCCAGCACCGCCAACATGCAGCAACAGCTCCACCTCCAAAAAGCCCTTCTAGAAAAGATGGGACAATGGGCACGGCCCCAGAAATACGAACCGCGGACCCACGGTCCTTGTGATTTTATACTTAAGACTCCCCCTGGCCGACACTCAGGCATTACTTTTTGCTTCAGGAGGAGGGGGTCTGGTTTTTTTAGGGGGGTCGTTCGTTAAAGGCGACTGTCCATTGAACAGTCACCCAGAAACCCAGCGCTGACTGGGTTAGGGGAAACTCTCTTGCACAGCTCCCTCGCAGTCCCACCGGCGCGGCCGTGGATTTCTGCCTCCCTTTCGCGCTCGTTCCAGCAGTTCAGCTCTATTTTAAGAGTCCCTCGTCCCTTCCATCCAGATTGTGTTTGGCCAGAGGATACACTGACTCTCCTTAGGAGTCCAACCCTCCGCGTTTCCCAGATGACAATTACAAAAGATGCAGTCAAGCATTATTGTTGTCTGAAGCAAGGCACATTCAGATCACATGTTTTTTAAAAATTTTTTTTAAAAGCCTTATCATAAGAGGAAATCAAGCCGGCATTAACAGAGTAATACACTGGACTCTGAGGGGGGAAAAAAAAAAACAAACAAAAAACAAACTTACTTCAATTAAATGCTTCACTACACAACACTCCAAAGCACTCTATGTTCTCTTACATCACCATCAAGAAACTTCAATGTCCAGTACAGACAACACTACAAGGAAAATTAATGGTTTACGTTTGGAGGATGGAATGAACGAACCGCTCCTTACTCTGCTACACTCTGAATACAACAAACTGGCAGGCGGAGACCTGCGAGCACCATTCCCCATCTGTAACGCGTTCGCTTGTTACACCATCGCTTTGCGCCGCTGGGACGAGGGCAAGTCCTCGACCTGAGATGCTCCGTGGCTTTGGCCGGGCCCTTTCGGGTCAAGGGCTGACGTTGACCAGTGCCAAATGCTTCAAGGCTGCTCTAGTGGCAGCCACTGGGTTGCCCCAATGAGTCTTGTGCTAAAAAAAGGTTTGTTTTTTGGGAAATGGGGATTTAATTGCAAAAAAACCCAAAATACAAAAAACACAATCCAAAAATCATTGGCTGCCGGTGGCCGGCACAGCACAGCTAACAAAAAATCCAAAGCCTCTCAAGACGTGAACGTGCAGACTCGGTCACAAACTGCACAGTGCGATGGTGATCTGACTGCTGAGAGGACTGGTGAAATGCAAACCCCCAGCTGAGGAGTCAATTTTTTTCCTGCGTTGCTTTGCGATACAAGGCAAGGAGTATAAAACCAAAGCAAGTTGGATGCAACTTCTCTAGGAAAGCAGAACAAACTACTACCAATGAACCAGGTTACACATCCCTGCTTAACCGTTCAGACTCAAGTCGCTGTACGAACAGATGATGTACATTCCTGCACTGCAACAACTCTTTTTTTTTTTTTTTTTTTTTTACTTACTGAAACATAAGGCTGCCTCCATTTAGGAGAGAGAACTTTTAGTTTATTTGCCCTAAGAAATTACTTACGATATTCTTCCAAACGGCGCAAAAGCTGCTTTTATGTCTTCAGTTGTAATTTCTGGACTGAGGTCTCCGACAAAGACATGGAAATGGTCTTTTGGGGAAAAAGGGAAAAAAAAAAAAAAAAGGATCTTAGCGTTTGAAGACAACCCTGAACACGCGCACGCGCAGAGCACAGCTATCTCAGAGAGCATGGCTTTCCAGCTATTACGACAATCTACAGGAAGACTAGAGCTTACTACAAAACAGAACGCGCTGCTCTTCGTAACGGATCCTTTGTCTGGCAGCGCTACAGAGTCAGTGATTTCAAGGATACTACGGTGACATATAGCATTTACATTTTCTACTTTAGAAACTGCTTTTAAGACCAGTCAGCATTGCCTATACAAAGTCTTCAGCTATTTAGCTAATGTGCCCAGGCTACAGGAAAATCTTTCTGTCTGTACACTACTGTTAAGCTTCAACATGGCAGGAGACCGCTAGCTATTCAAAATCTGATCAACTGAAATGACTACCAGTTTCAAGAAAGGCAGGATAACACTTCTAGAGTGGGACATACTGCGAACCTAGCCACCACGTCCGGGTTAACACCATAGGTCGTGAAGAACGAATCAAAAAGCACCTTGCATTGCAACAGGTTGCTGTTAAAGAATTTGAGTTCACAAAAGCCAATAATTTTGGTTGCCCAGCCAATACACTGTGTGGATCCACGTGAATTCAATGTGCGTGAATCCACGTGCAAGTGAACTAAGACTGAAGGCAACAGAATGGAAAGAGGGATCCCT